TGTTGTTGTTTAAAGTTTTGGAAGCAAGAGGAGTGTCAACTCTTGTGTTGGATCAAGTCAAATCAAACAGGGGATTAACTTTTGGTCAGGGGATTCTCTCACCCCAAACTTAGTTAAATACAGAAATAAAATACTTTTTTTTCTGGTTTCAGCCAAGGCTGTAAAACTGAGTTTGGTACATGCCCTAGATTGCAGAAGTAAAAGAGGCAACAAAGCTTTAGTTGCTCAGAATAAATCTTGTTTAAATTTTATTCCAAAAGCTCAATTTGATTGAAAAAGCCCAAAGAAAAGAAAAGAAAAAAAAATAAGGACCTTATTTCTCAATGTTCTTGGTATTTTTAATTCTGAACACAGTTGGATCCAAAGTATCTGGCCTCACATCAGTATTCCTCTTTGATAGGGCTGAACAAAATAGCCCTTAAACATCATAGTCAGTTGGAATTCTGTCAGGTCATCTGTTGGTACCAGTATAGCAGATTTGGACCGGCATTTAGAAGTGGGTAATTAGGAATTTGGTTCATTTTGCCATGCCGAGAGCCTGATCAAAATCTCTCCATAGCAGGTGGTCTGTGGGCACGTGGTCCACGAAGGCTCAGATGTGGTTCTATTTATGTTTCTGTGTTAGACGATATCCTTGAAGCCATGGTTGCTGTACTGTACCAGACTAGAATCCAAAGCAAAGTGCAGAGCTGATTACCACCAGGCTCATTTCCAGGGGACCTGCCACAATTCTGCATAAGCATAATGCCCAGTGTCCCTGTTGTGATTGGCTTTGTTGCTTGTTTCTGGCATCATCCTGGCGGTCAGTAACACAGTGGATTGTATCTGTTTTCTCCCTGAAGCCAGAAGGCCAGTATTCAGTAGGTGGGTGGGCAGAGTACACTCACCCTTCCTATTGAATAGACTATTGCTAAGTCACGTATCAGACAGCAGAAGGCTTCTCAGTGAGGTGGTAGATGAGGTTCCTATTGATAGACCTTAAAAAAAAAATATATATATATATATTTATTTATAACATTGCATATATAGCATTATGAAGACCTTTCAAATATATTGCCTCATTCGATGCTTGTAACCAGTGGTGCAGGAGAGGTTTGTGTTATTATTCTCATTTTCAGGTGAAGAGAAAAGTTAGAAGAGTTAAGAGATTCGCCTAAGGTCACCCAGTCCAAGATCCAAGAACTGTTCTCAGCTTTGCCATCTCTTCTCAGCTTCTGTTTGACATAAAACCATCTGGGTGCTAGCATTTAAGACTCTGAACAATACATTTGAAACTGCAGCATTTAGCAGATGGCTAATTGTGGCTGCTGCTGCCATCATGCCATAAAGTCTACCCTACTGATTTTTAGCCACACAGCATTTCAATATTTCAGACTTCAAAATGAAAATTAGAATCCTAGTATGTTTGCAGGATGTATAGGGTTTTTTTTGTTTTTGTTTTTTTTTGTTTTTGCCTGGGGCAGCTCTCAGGGTCGCGCTGTTTCCTGACGCGGGCGCTCCATACCCGTCGCCATTTTCCGCCAGGGTTTTTTTTTTTGTTGTTGTTGTTTTTTTGTTTTTGCCTGGGATAGAGTGCAGTGAGGATGAATGTTTTCAGGTGGTTTGGGTAAGGTTTTTAAAGTCTGGACAGCATGATATTTGTAATTGGATCATGATGTTGTAGTGGCAACTTTATTGTTCAATCAGCCAGAAAATATGCATACCATGTCTATGATGTTCTATGCTAAGTTGCTAAGAACTCTACAAGAACTGCCTTCAAAGAGCTTACAGTTCTACTGGAGAGATAATACATGTGCACTCAAAATAACCAACAACTTAGGACAGCTGTTTACTGCTAAGAACTCTACAAGAACTGCCTTCAAAGAGCTTACAGTTCTACTGGAGAGATAATACACGTGCACACAAAATAACCAACAACTTAGGACAGCTGTTTATTAATGGCACGAAGAGGTACAGGTGGCAAGGCCTGCAGTTTAGGAGAGGAGATAACAATGAACTGACGTGATTTGGGGAGATATTTTTAGATTTGGTAGTGGGAATAAAATTTAGATACTTTATGTGAGATGATAGTAGATTTTCCAGATGGTGGGCTGGAAATTAAGAAATTGTATGGGCAAAACATGGAGATATGAAGAATAAGGCATTTTTTGGGGAGATATTTTTAGATTTGGTAGTGGGAATAAAATTTAGATACTTTATGTGAGATGATAATAGATTTCCCAGATGGTGGGCTGGAAATTAAGAAATTGTATGGGCAAAACATGGAAATATGAAGAATAAGGCATTTTGGGAATATAATTAGACCTATCTCACTATAAACAGGAATTTGTTATAGAGAGGAGTGGGAGATAGATGTTGAAAAGTTGGTTGGGAAGATGATTGATGTCCCTGAATGTGCGTGAAGAATTTATTCTGTTAATCTGTAAGATGAAAAGTGTCATTTTTGCATTTTGAACCGGAGGCAGAAACTTAAAAGGCATCATTTTACCTGGTGGCAGTGCCCAGGATGGAATGAGGAAAAGGGGAAACAGACTATCATTGGAGAGACAAGTTGGAAAACAGGGCAGAGATCCAGATGAGAAGTGACCAGTCAGCAGAGCTGAAGCCGGGCTGGACCTGGGCCCAAGAGGGGCAGAATTCAGTGTATCCAGGTCCTACCCCAGCTTCAGCCACTTGCTCCTAGCTGCCTGTTTCTTTCTTCACACAGTAGTCACAAATCATTGCTATAGCTCTGAAGAGGAGTTTTATCCACCTCTTTGTTTTTGCTCCCTCAAAAGTGGCTGAGTGATGTTGAGGAACTTTTCAAGTGTCTGCAATGTGAAGTCATTTTTGCATTTTTGATGCCATCTTATTTCATATTGAATAGTTTAGCATCAGATTTGAAAAGACCTGCATACCTAGTCCTCTAACCTTCCGGATTTTGTGTTCTCCTTGTAAGCTCTTCTTGTCTGACAGTTGCAGTGCTCAGGTGCTGGGGACTGCGGGTTATTCCTCGCTATCACAGTAGTGAACGCGTGGACATCAAGCCTGGCCCAAAACTTCAGTCCATGTGTATCTCAGAAGCAGTCCACTCCTGGGGAAAAGATGCTGTCATTGGCAGAAGGAGGCATAGAAATATTCATTATCTGGGGGAAGAGAAGTGTGTCATGGGTCTCCAAGACCACCCAGGTTCAATGATTCACTAGGAGGACTCACAGGATTCAGCAGAGAGTGCTCATATCGATTACAACACAAGAATACGGGTAAAATCCGTAAAGGGAAAGGTGCATGTGGCAGTCTGGAGGAAACTGGGCACAAGCTCCCAAGAGTCCTCTCTCAGTGGAGTCAGACAGGATGCGTGTGCACTTAATTCCTCCAACAATGAATTGTGAAACACGTGAACTGTTTCATTATAGTGCCCAAGGTTTTATTGAGGCCTGTTCACATAGGCATCTTCTACCTAGCACATACCAAAATTCCAGTCCCAAAAGGAAAACAGGTGTCCAGTACAAACCACATTTTTGTGCAAACAGTTTAGGCCCCGTGAGCCACTCTTAACTGTTCTGGGAATTGGGAAACCCTCCTGAAATCCCAGTTGCCAGATGCCATCCAAGGGCCAAAGTTGCAAACAGCCTTTCTAAGGATGGGAGTCTCAGGCTTGCTATGTTAACTCTTTTCTGCACAGGGAGTGAGTATATTGCCACTGAAGTTGTTGAGAAAGGATATTGATGGAGAAAACCTTCAAAATCCAAGAAAGTCTGATGTTAAAAGAGGTCGCGCTTCTAGAAGTGATATTTGAGGTTGGCGCAAAAGAGAAGGATTAGAGGAAGAATCAGAGCACAGAGAACTGAAAGCAGTCCTGAGCTAATGCTCACATGTAGGCGACTAGAGAGGCAGAGGGAGAACTGGGATATGTTAGGAAACCAAGAGGAGACAGGTTCAAAAAGGAGAAAATGCTCAGAAGTGTGTAAAGTGCTAAGGATAAGCAAGAATTATGGGCACTGCAAAATGCCATTGGGACATCACTTAATAATGTGTTAATTGATTTTTTTGTGTGTATGTATCTTGATTGATTTCTAACTTAAAATTATCTATGCACATTAAGCAAGACTTATTCAGCCAGTGCCTTGAATTGCTTTCCTGCCCATCACATCTTTCTGTTTTCTTTTGATCACCTCACAAAAGCTCTGTTTTAAAATTTTTTTTGTCATTGCTTTGTATTTGTTTGTTTGGGTTTAGATTTCAAAGGCAGAGAAAAATGGATGAGCTTTAAGAAGGCAAAAAAAAGTTCTTTGAGCATTACTACATACTTCTCTCTGGTGATTATTTAAGGACAGCAGCAGCAGAAAAACACCTCTTTTGTTCTTGATGGAAAAATAATTTTGTTTGTTCATTTAAGGGGATTGTGTTTGCCATTCCATTGATTTCACCACTGCTTGCTGGTGAAGAATAAAAATTAAAAGTTGCTTGTTTTGAGTGCAGACATCCGAAGGGGATGATGGAAGTGTTTGAATGTGCTACAACATCCTTGGACTTCTCCCAGACCTTGACTTCTAGGTCATGTCTCTCTAATACTTATTTTCTCTCTTTCTGGGTTCTCAGATGCTAAAGTTGTATAGGGTCTCTGGGATGGAGGGCCTTGTTGTATAGGACCATGTGAACCAATAGTAGCTTTCCTTTGCTTACCATTAAAAAACAAACAAACAAAATCCCCAATTACATTTACTTATCTATTTATTTATACAAAAGGCTCTTCTTTTTGTGTCTGACTTTGAGTAGTGAGTGGTGTAGGAAGTACTAGTGCCTCTTTTCTCTCTCTCACTCCAGATGGTTCAGGAATAGAAAATCATTGAGTGGAAGAAGGTGAGAGTGTTGTGCTGAATGTGGCTTTTGGAGTTTTAGTTCCCTCCAGTGATGGATGACAAATCTGGCCTTATTCATGTCATTGAACTTCAGGAGGACAAATGTGTGCAGTGATTGAGGTGGTTTTAAATTCTCTGTCTCTTGTCCTAATATCCCAGGGATTCCAGCAAAAGTTCTCCTTCCATAGTAAAGAGATTGTGGCCATCAGCTGTTCCTGGTGCAAGCAGGCGGTAAGTTTGGGATGCAATGAAGCAATGTGGGCTCATGTTTTATCAAAATAGACTATGTCATTTCTTGAGTTCCTCTCTGTAAGTGGAAGTTTATCCTAATTTAACAGATTACTTTTCTCATGTAAGATCCTTGGAGAAGGACAGACTATAGAACAATAGCACATATGAGCTGGGAGAGACTAGAGAGATAAATTAACCTTCATTGTATGTACATTGAAGCCTGAGAGTGGGGACTGGAAAATCCTCCCCTGGTTCTAATTCTGGGGCAATCATTGAGGGCTTCTGACTCTTAGACCATATTTTTTTCCCGTTCCACTAGATTGTTGAGGACTCCTGCTATGACAGAAAGGTACAACATTAGGAACAAAGAGACGTGCATCATGAGAGATCCTCTAACACTCATGTCCAGGCATCTTGGTTCTTCTGGTTTTGATGTGGGCGACCTTTTAAATAGGACTAAGTGTTAGGATTAGAAGAGAGGTTCCTGTATCCTTTTTTAGGTTTGGATGTTATAGTTCTGTATGCTCAATGAAATGAAGCTCTTCCTCACCTTTGAACACACATATTCAGTAGGATCTGATGGCAATTTCCCAAGTTACTTTTTCTCTTTTATCTACTTTTTTTCCCATTTTTTTTTAGCACCTAACTCCTCCATCCCAACCAGATGCTACATTTTTTTATTTGTTGGTTGGTATATTTGTTTTCTTCTACCAGACGATGCATACTCTAATGAGGGGTTGGCAAACTATGGCCTGTAGGTCAAATCTGGCTGCACCTATTTTTGTAAATACAGTTTTACTGGAACACAGCCACTTATGTACTGTCTGTGGCTGTTTTTGCATTTATGTATTGTCTATGGCTACTTTCATACTTCAGTGGCAAAGCTGGGTAATTGCAACAGAGACAAATGGATCCACAAGCCTAAGATAGTTACTGTCTGGGCCTTTACAGAAAAGTTTCACTGACCCTTGCTGTAATCTTTCAATTTACCTACTCTTTTGAATGACTCTATGAATTGGGATATACATTTCCTTCATTGCATAGCCAATCTGCAATGAAAGGGCCGTGGTGTTTCAGCTACATTAAGGGTTTGCAGGAAACCTCACCTCCCTATGCACGTCAGATGGAACTAGCCACATGGGCCATGGGGCTGGAAAAGATGTTATGTAGTTGAAAAACATGAAATTGACCTTTTTGTGGATTGAAATTTGAAATTAATTCCATAATTCCATAAAGTCTAACCTAATAATCTTCCTAGCATAATTTCCCTAAGCCCCTACATGTTGGGAGAACCTACTGTCACTGTGTAGGGACTCACTGGTCTGGGGACCTCAGTGCTTGCTGTGTCACCTCCTGCTCCATTTTTTTTTTTTTNAGAAGGACAGACAGACAGACTAGTGAAGGTGACAGCTGTGGTTCATAGCCTCTCAGCTCAGCCAAACACACCACCAGGAGCCTTGCAGAGTTAGGCGCCTTGAGCTCTGTTTTTCCTCAGCTATGCGCTGGCTCAGGACAGGCCCTCAGTCAGTGTCCTGGGTGAACAGGGTAGACTGTTTTGGGGATTAAGACACTTCATCTAAGATTCAGATCCGGTTTTAACCAAACTTCTCCCGGCCTCCCTCAGCGGTCCCCTCAGCAGCAGCATGAAAAGCAAGAGGGCCAGCCCTGGTTGGAATCCTGGCTCTGCCACTTTCTGAGTGGCATTACTAGGCTCAGTGGCCTCATTAGTAAAATGGAACTAGAATAATCTCCAACTCACAGGGCTGTTGTTTGTTTCTCATCCTTTGGGTCCCCCCTTCCCAGACTCAGTGGTTACCTCCAGACTCAGTCGTTTAGTCCTCACCCCTCAGAACTTTGGCCTCAGACCTGACTACTGCCAAGTCTGTCCTACAGACACCCCCTACCCCCCAAGCTATTGCCGTATTTTCATTATCATCACCCTTACTTCCATTTTTAGGGCATTGTGTGCTAAGGACTGTATACATAGTATTTTTTATATTCTTTCCTATATATTTTCCAATTTCTGTTAGGAGTACTTCAACCCATGAATTATTTAGAAGTGCATCTTGATATTTCAAAACACGTGGAGTTGTCTTTTTTTTTTTTTTCATGACCAGCAACGGATCGCAACCGTCAGTGTCGTGCCCGTACCGGACCGGGACCGGCAACGGGATCGCAACCCTTGGTGTTGCACCTGCAACCTCGCTCAGCCAGTGAGCGGCCGGTCTGTATGTGGGATCCGAACGTATGTGGGATCCGAACCCTCGGCGGGAGCACCACTGCGCTCCCAAGCGGCGCACTGTAGCAGTGCGCCACCGGGCCGGCCCGTGCTCCATTTTTTATTTTTGGCATTTCTATCTCCTTTCAGTTAGTTGTTACACAGATAATCATTGCACTTTTGTTTAAGAACATGTTCACAAATATAAGGCCACCCTAGTTCTTGAGTGAAACTCTGTGCCATCAAGGCAGTGTCTCCATCTGGCAAGGAAGAAGCAGATTCGGTGTCCAGGTGCCCCTAACGATGTCCTTGCTGCTGGTTTCTCTGATCTGGTGAGACCCCCTGGTGGGGCAATGTCATGGGCAGCAGTGTGCTCAGATATGCTGTGTCTGCTCCTGCCCTGTGTAGCTACCAGGCTGTGGTGAGATAGTTTATGCCAGGTCAATTAACTTGGAAACTCAATCCCACTTTACAGTAAATGTGTACTCTCTTTTCATTAATCTATAGTCCAGTTGAATCACTACAAATATTGAATTTTCACTTCATCATTATGGCAGAGCTTTGGTCAATTCCACATATTGTTGAGTTTTCCAGTTTCCCATGTTGCAGAAGGTGATTTTGCAGGGACTATACAAATACAAAGCATTTTAACACAAATTACAGTGGTGATATATTTTAACAGTATAGGTAATCCCCTCTAGGATATTTGATGTTAAACAAACAAACAAATAAATGACCTTTTATGGTGCAGGAGAAAGAATACTAGGTTTGGAAGCTGGGTTTCCTGGATTCAGGTCCTGAATTCACCACTTAAAAGCCGTGCAATCTTGGACATACCTCTTAGTCTCTAGATTAGAGATTACTTGAGTATAAATTGAGAGAGTTGATGTAGGCAGCCTCTGAGATCCCTACCATTTTAGAAATGCCATGGCCATGCATTGAGGGTTTATTTCAATTGCTGAAGAAAAAATAAATGTTTAAAAAAGATATTCAAATAACATTCCTCTGGTATATTTGTTTTCAGATCAAAAATAACTGGTAGCAGAGAGAAATATTAATTATTTTATCAGTTGGTATTTCATACTTAATTGATTGATTAGTAATTATCCACTGGGTCACAGCAGATCTTGAAGATGTGCGGAAATGAAAACAAAATCTCTCTGTTGTTATATAATGTAATTAGTGTGGCCATATTTGCCAGTTTTCTTGAGACAGTCTTAATTTATGTCTGTTGTTCCAACATAATTATTATCAGTGATCCCTTTCACTCTTAAAATTATTCAAGTTAAAACGATACATTGTATGGCCACATTAAGCATTATACAAGTAGAAACTGATGTTAAATTTTTAAAAATCGCTATAATTAAAATTTAAGACCCATAATTATTGCCTAATGTTGATTTTATGTTTATTAGAAAATAAATGTTACTTTACATGACTGTCACTTTATGGTAACACAAAAGATTATTGAAAAAGTCACAGTAGGGGTATAGAGTTAAGTCCCTAATAATGAGGTATTGTTATGATCATTAGTCTACATTTACTTCCTTCCTTTCAAAAACAAAAAGCACTTTAGACTTGCCAAGTGTAATAGGGCCATTGTATTTTTTTAGTGGCCCCACACAAACCCAGCAGAAGCAATCTCTTTGTACTTTGTTACCGCTGGGATTAACAACTCTCTAGAAGAGACATTCTGCTTCTTTCCTGGCTTCCCTAAACTGGAAAGATGACCCAAGAGGATTTACATCTATGATAGAAAAGGGAGAGGCAGATGGTAGGCATTGCCTTTCTGCTTGTCTTCATCTTCTTGGCATTAATCCCAAATCAACCAAGTCCGTGACCAGCACAAATCAAGGGAAGCAAAACTGTGTGCAAAGTTAAGATTAATAGAGCCCTCCTGGATTCTAACGTCTTTATGTAAATATCCTATTAAACAGAAAGTTTTAGCAGGCCTTGTCCTGCTACATTCATTTCTTGTTATCAATTGTTAAAAGTTTGTAAACTGGAATAAATTCGAAATCTGGTCTCCAAGTTCCTGGGGCTGGATGGGCAGTGATGAGAAGCGTGTGTCCTTAGTGTGTGTCTGTGTGTGTGCACGTGTGTGTTTGTGCATGCACGAGTGTGTGCCTGTGTACTTACTCCTACTTCTTGCAGCATTACCCATTGCCCAGAGTTGTTTACTGGCCTCTTTTTCTCTGCAGTTTCACAATAAGGTGACCTGCTTCATGCTGCATCACATTGAGGAACCCTGCTCCCTGGGGGCTCATGCTGCTGTTATTGTCCCGCCCACATGGATCATTAAGGTGAAGAAACCGCAGGTAACTGCCAGGACCCTGGTGCTGCTGGGCCGGTGCAGAGAAAAATTAACTGCTGCTTCTTGCTTTTCTTCCCCGGACTAGGCTTTGGGTTCCTAGGACCTGTGCTCACTCATCCCCAAGGTCCATGCTTAGCTGCCACAGCTCATCCCATTAGCCTGTCCCTCTACCGCGCTGGGCTATTTCACAGAACCAGCCTCCCTGTCCTAATGAAATCAGAGTTCCAGAGTATTAATTTATGTGCTTATGATATTCTCTTTGAGAGGAGCTCATCCGAGTTTCATTGAGTCCTAGTGGTGGGTACGCGCTGGGCTATTTCACAGAACCAGCCTCCCTGTCCTAATGAAATCAGAGTTCCAGAGTATTTATTTATGTGCTTATGATATTCTCTTTGAGAGGAGCTCATCCGAGTTTCATTGAGTCCTAGTGGTGGGGAGAGCTGATTCTTATACAACTGTCTTCTCTTCCAGCCTGGGCATTCCCAGGGGGTCACTGTGAGGGCAAATTGCAGGCTTCGCGGCTTGGCTAAGGTTATTGCCACTTCAAGTCCTCAAGGCAACCTTTTTAAATATGCTAGGTCTGTTTAGAGAGCAACACTCTTTTCTTCAGGCAAAGTAGAATTTATTCTCTTAATATCTAATCTCATTCTGTATTATCTCCTTAATGTACTTCCTGTCCTAGTGAGTTTCTGCTTCAGTATTCTGGGAAAGCAATGTGGTTTCTCGACGAGATCATAATCTTTGATGGAAAATGTTTCTATCTTTGCACTATACAGCTTAGACAGTTAGCTCCAAGTTATGGGGATGGCAATCTTTTAATGCTGCAGGGAGAGACATTGTATTCCTCCTCCCCCACCCTCTGGGTGCAGATACTTTAGGAAGTCTTATCAAATGCAATATCCTTAAAGGATACTGTGGTCCTCCTTCCTCTGGTCTCCAAAGTCACCATGCAGTTTATTCTCATTGATTCAGTTTTATTTAAAAACCAGTGGATCAGGGATACTGTTTTTGTTTGTGTGTTTTATATAAAGTTTAGCCTCCATTGATAAGTAATGTTTAGAAATAACCTTTCCAAGTTACAATCCATGGAAGTCCTTGGGAGATTTTTTCTAGAGGCAAGTGTAGTATCTACATGTTTATGAAATGGAGTCCTTTATTTCATATTTTAGAACCAAATGCCAAAATACATTAAATTAGTTGGCCAAGGTGAAAAAGCAATTAAGTATAGTTCTGCTGTCTGAAATTCAAGTGTACTAAATTCCAATTTTTATTTTTAAATCTCTTTAACATTTCTACTTCTTTGTTTTCATCTTTTTTCCTAAAATTCAGGAATCTTATTACATACTCATTCAGTTAAATCAACACCCTTCTATTGAAAACCCAGATGATATCAGGAAGGCTACTGGACATTGTGATGTGATACGTGGTCCTTGCTCTGAAGAGCCTTGTAGTTATCTTAAGGAGATATCGAGGGGAACGTCATGAAGGTGGTGGGTTTTATTCTGCTTTTTAAAGATGGGTGGGATTTAGATCGTGGAGTAGAAAGGGAGAAGCAGGCAGGAAAATGGCATAAGCAAGGAAGCTGTGTCCAAAAATACGAGGGGTCTTCAGAAAGTTCATGGAAAAATTCATATTGTCTTTTAATTCCATTTTTCCATGAAATTTTTGAAGTACCTTCATATATTCATGAGACTATGAGATAGTTTGGCTGAAGTGGGGGGTTTATGTGGACAGTTCTATGAGGTTGCTCAGGCCTGAGCATGGAGGGGTTTTGATACGTGTGAACTTTATCCTGAAGTAGTGTGTTTCCTTTTAGGCTAAAGAATGATAGTGTAAAAATAGTATTTGAGAAGGAAACGACTAGCGTGAGTGTGTAGGGTGACTTAGTGATATAGGATTTTGAAAGACTGAAGATAGACCAGTTAGGAAAATCAGATGATGATAACATTTTGCAGGAAAATTAAGTTTATTTTTCTAAACTTTAAAATAACTTTTTTGGGGGTGAATCAGTGACTGGTATTCCGTCCTCTAAGATATGGATTGTCATTCCCTCTTTGTGGGCTCTGTCTTCTGTCCATAAAAGTGGAGATGGTAAGACACATTTGGATGGTGTGACATTATAATATTTATATTCTGGCGTTCAGCTATGGTTCCTGGCTCATGCTACTCTCTGGCCTTTTCCTGCCTTTGTTTTACCTGCTCCTCTTTTTCTCCCCAAGGCAGGAAATTTCCTGACCTACCTTAGCTGATTGTAGGTGATAAGACCCCCACTTCAGGAGGGCTCTGCCTCATGCCCAGGAGGAGGGAATGCTGCACAGACGCCAAGAACCTGAACAGACAGGTCTTGCTGAGTTTCCCCACCTAGTCTGTTGGTGTCAGATAGGACCTTTTTTGTCCAATCATGTTTCTACATGGTTGTCCATGCTTCAGTCTTGTCCATGTAATGAAGCTTCCACTGAAACCCAAGAGTGAAGGGTTTGGAGAGCTCCCAGATGGCTGATCACATGAAGGTTCCTGCAGGGTGGCGTGTCTGGGGAGGGCATGGAAGCTCCCCCGTACCCGTCATGTGCATCTCTTTGTCTGTATCCTTTCAATATCCTTTATAATAAACCGGCAAACATAAAATACAATAATTTTTTTATGATGGAATTTTCAAGTAAATGAAGAGAGAGAAACGATTATGATGAACTCTTCTATAACCATCAACTTTTCTGACATGCTTGTTTCGTCTGTCCCCTTCCACACTATATTTTCTTTTTCTTTTTCTTAATTAAAGTTTTAATTTTGAGATTCAGAAGCAGCTATAAGAGATAATACAGAGGAATACCTTGAACCCTTTGCAGAGTTTCCCCTTGTAGTCATATCTTGCAGTTTACGATATCACAACCAGGATATTGACATTGATTCAGTCAAGATACAGAACAGTTCCATCCCAACAATGACCCCTCGTGTTACCTTCTCATAGCCATGTCCATTTTTCCTCTGGCCCCACCTCATCTACTCCATCTTCCTGGAAGTGGAAGCCCCTTTCTCCCTTTTTGCTTTTGCTAGAATATTTTAAGGCAGCAAATCTTAGCATTATCACTTAATCTACAAGTGCTTCATTTTGCTTCTCTAAAAGATAATGACATTTAAAAAAGGTGACCACAAACCATTATCTCTCTCACCCATAAAAATTAATAATTCCTTAAATTTTTTTCTGCTTGTCTCAAATATATCTTTTTTATAGTTAAGTTTCTCAAATCAGGATTCAAAGTTTACAACTACCTTTTGTTGACATATCTCTTTAAGTCTTTTTAAATTTATGATGATACCCTGTCTTAATTTTCATGCCATTTATTTGTTGAGTAAATTGGGTCACTTTACCTGTAGAACTTCCCATATTTTGATTTTGGCTGATTGTATCCTTATTGTGTTTTAAAATGATTTCCCTTATTGCCCATAGTTCTTGAAAACTAATATTTAAATATAGAGACTCAATTAAATTGAGGTTTAATTTTTTTGGCAAAAGGACTCCTGGGTGGTGCTGTGTATTTCTATTGTATTGAACGTATGATCAGTGGCTTCACTCTTAGTCATGTTAAGATCGATTGTGAGTTCAGGAACCATCATCCTAATCCATCTATCATGAAGTTCTCCATCAGCCTTTCTCCTACTGTGTTATCCATTAAGGGTTATTGCTGAAATCTGTTATTTCATTAGGAGTTGCCAAAGGGTAGTTTTGCAACTTTTACTCTTTTTCACTTTTTAGTTATGATATTTTTATGAAAAGAACTTTTCTCTTATCATCAACTAATACATGACAAATGTTTGAGTATTTGCCTTTATTTGTAAATTTTCAGAATAACAAGCTGATGCTTTAGCTACCTTTATAAAGGTGGCTAAGAATTGTAGTGGTGGTGGTTGTTTTTTGGAGAGTATCATTATGAAATTACATAATTATTATTTATATATATATGATGTGTTTCAAACTATTATGACCATTATTCTTCTTATGTTCATATTGTTCCATCTTTGACCAGTTGGAACCCCTTCCAGGTGGCTCCATTTGTCATAAGCCATGAGGTTTTTGATAGCTTCCTTGGTTTCAGGAACATGTTAAACACACATAACATGTTCATGTCCCAGGATCATTGGTGCATTTCCTGTCCATACCTGGAATCAGTCATTTCTCTAATGAGTCTTGCTTACTTTTAATGGGAGATGGTATTTACAGTTAACAGTCTGGATGCTAAAGTTTAAATTCATTATTGAAAATGCACGTTTTTATTGTCTTCTGTGATTCAGGACACTGTGATAATAAGAATAAGGAGAGCTAACATTTATCAAATGCTTTATATGTGTTAAGAAATACTTTAAGTATTTTCTATTCAGTATCTCATTTTATCACCTTAGTGCCCTATGAGCAGGTATCTTATTATTCCCACTTTGCAGCAGAGGAAAGTGAGACACAGAGAAGTCAAATAAATGACCCAGAGCCATATAGTTACTAAGTAGTTTGAGATAGGGTTTGAACCCAGAAATTCTGATTCTGGAAACCAAGCTCTTGATGATATGCCATACTGTCTCCCTGTTTTACTATAGCAAGCCTTGCTGAATCAGATATTAAAATAAATTTGTAGTCTCTCCTCTTATGGGCTCCAAAGGCATCGAGTAAGTTAATCAATGAATTATATTCTATTTACAAGCTGGTGTATGGTGAACTTGGGAGGGGCAATATAGTATTGGTTAAGAGCTCTCTGGATTTTGAGCCCAAAACTTTGCTTTGACACTTATTAATTTATGTAATATTGAACAACTTAAACTCTTCTTTTGAACTCTTCTGCCATTAATGTTAAATTTTAAAGACATTAAAAAAAACAACAGAGGTTGAGAAAAGGTTGGTTCTTGTGTTTGTGATCAAATCATGAATGACAGTCAAAACTATAGTTGGTAGAATGACCGTATGGGTGGGAAGCTGCTAGCGGTGACTTAGGGGAATGAGGGCTGCCTGGAAGATTGGCT